GGCCCCCCCACTCCACTACAGTGTCCATTAATCCTTTGCTGTAGAGTCTGTCCAGTTTGGCCAATAGACATGATAGAGGGGCATTGCTGGCACTTGATGGCATAGATCACATTAGGATGTGCAGTTCTATGAGCCTCTGATGTGGTGGCCTTTGTGGTTAGATCCTGTGATGGTGTTGCTTGTATAGAAGTTGACACTGCAGTTTGTTGCAGGGGTAGATTTCTGCGTGAGTGCATCTAAGGTGTGATGTGTGGCTGCTAGAAATAATTTGCTTCTGGTTACGGGGTTGTCTGTAGGGGAGGATTGGCCTGTCTCCAAAGGCCTGTGAGAGTGAGGGATTATTTTCTGGGTTAGGTTGTAGATTGTCAATGGTGTGCTGGAGGGGTGCATGCTGGGGGCTGTAGGTGATGACCAATGGTGTTTTGTTATTTTTGGTTTTGGGCCTGTGTTGAAGAAGCAGATTCCTGGGAAATCATTTGGCTCTATCACTTTATTTCTTTGCTTCCCTAGGTGGGTATTTAAGTTTTAAGAATGTCTGATAAAGATCTTATAGGTGTTTGTCTCTGTGGGTATGTCTACACTACCCCGCTAGTTCGAACCAGCGGGGTTTTAAAAATGGCGGCTCCCTGCTTATGCAAATGAAGCCCGGGATTTGAATTTCCCGGGCTTCATTTGCAAGTGCGGTATGCCTACATTACCCCGCTGGTTCGAACCCCGTGTAGCCGTGCTGCATGGGGTTCGACCCAGCGGGGTTTTAAAAATGGCGGCTCCCTGCTTATGCAAATGAAGCCCGGGATTTGAATTTCCCGGGCTTCATTTGCAAGTGCGGTATGCCTACATTACCCCGCTGGTTCGAACCCCGTGTAGCCGTGCTGCATGGGGTTCGACCCAGCGGGGTTTTAAAAATGGCGGCTCCCTGCTTATGCAAATGAAGCCCGGGATTTGAATTTCCCGGGCTTCATTTGCAAGTGCGGTATGCCTACATTACCCTCCTAGTTCGAACTAGGAGGGTAGTGTAGACATACCCTGTGGTATTGGAACAGATCTGGTTGTATCTTAGGGCTTAGATATAAATAATCAGTTGTGTGATGTGTCCTGATGGAAGCTAGAGGAAAGAATAACATTCGGTAGGTTTCCAGTATAGGGTGGTATTAATCTGGCCATCATTTAATTGTACTGTAGTATTGAGGGAGTAGATCTCTTGTGTGGACTGGTTCAGTCTAAGGTTGATGGTGGGGTGGAAATTGCTGAAATCCTGGTTGAATTCTTCAAGGATCTCCTTCCCAGCATTAATAGATGCCACACAGCTAATCACTGTGATTAAAAATGAACTTTTATGCATTTACATTCATTGACAAAACATGATGAAACCTCGTTTAACCTCTCCACTTTCAGGCCAGCTAAAATGATGTGAAGTAAGACCAATGTATTGTCAGAGGATGTCTCCCACAACATGCCTGCAGTGGGAGTGTAACACTGAGACCATATGAGGAAAGAATGGTACAAGGAAAAGCACTGCCTACTCTCAATTATCCTAGTATATAGAATCAGTGAAATCAAGGGCTGGAAGGGACTTTGAGAATTCATCAAGTCCAGCCCCTTGTGCTGAGGCAGAACCAAATAAAATTAGACCATTCCTGTCTGGTGTTTGTCTAGCATGTTCTTTAAAACATCCAACCAATGGATATTTCACAACCTCCTTTGGAATCCTATTCCAGAATTTAACTACCCCTATAGTTAGGAAGTTTCCCCCGCTAATATCTAACCTAAATCACCCTTCCTGATGATTAAGCAGATTACTTTTAGTCCTGCCAACAGTGGGCATTCATAACAAGTGCTCACCATCCTCTTCATGACATCTTCCAACATATTTGAAGACTGTTATCAGGTCTCCCATCAGTCTTCTTTTCTCAAACCTAAACTGGCCTAGTTCTCTTTAACCTTTCCTCCATAGATCACATCTTCTAAATCTTTCATCATTTTTGTTGCTTTTCTCTGAAGTGTCTCCAATTTTTCCACAGCTTTCCAAAAATGTGATACCCAGAATTGGAGAAAGTACTCCAGCTAAGACCTCACCCGTGCCAAATAGAGCAGGACAGATGCCTCCCATGTCTTATATGTGACACTAGTTAATGCAGCCCAGAATGATACCAGCATTTTTCACAATTGCATCACATTGATTTGTATTCAGTTTGTGATCCACTGTAACCCGTTTCTTAAAGGTCTAGCCTGTTATTCCCCTTTTTGTAGTTGTGCATTTGATTTAGTTGTGTATTTGCTTTTTCCATCCTGAGTGTATTGCTTTCGTCTTATTACATTTAATCTTGTTGAAGTCATACCAACTCTCCAATACGTCAGGGTGCTGCTAGTAATTACTCCTTCAGTCTGATCTCTCAACAAGTTATGCACCCACTTTTACTCTAGATCACTTTGCCCCAGTTTGCTTATGAGAATATCATGTGGGAATGTGGTCTGTGTCAGCAACTTTCCTGAAATTAAGATGTATCCGATCTAATGCTCTCCCTTCCACCCCCATCCACTAGGTCGGTATGCAGCGTTGAGAATTATTTCTCACATTTAACACATAATAATAATTATGTTGAACTTACCTCTAAAATTGGAACAAGGAGGTTAGAACTAGAGGAAAATTGGCTTATCAATAATTGCACTGGCTAAGTGCTCATTTAAGGGTCTCTTTTAAGATCAGAAATGTTGTGAGTTTGAAAGTAAAAAGGAGAAGAATTTCCCTGCTATGGAGGGTGTTTTTTAGACTGTGTCTGATCTGAAAAATAGATAATGGAGGCTTCTATTTAAGACTTACTCAAACCCACGCTAAACTATTGGGTTAATTAGCTATTAATTCAATAACTGTTGTTAGGCCATAATTCTGTAACAGGCAGGACATGTGCAGTATTTCTAAGCTCATTTCTGAAATATGTTCTGATGGAATCTGTGACGTGTCATGTGAATTTATCGGCAATAGGAGGAACAAAATGACAGCAGACTTCCAATGCTCTCCCTTTGGATTGGCCAACAGAGAAGAAAGAATTTCAAGCCGCCATCTTCTTTTCCTCCTCACCTTTCAGGAGCTATTGTTGCTGCGAAAGCAAGAGGCAGCATGCCACCTCTGGGCCTCAGGCTGGATCTGCAGCTGCCTCTAAACCAGGAAAAAAGGCCTCTGCTATCCCAGCCCTCCACTGAATGGAATGTCATGACTCAGTTTGCCTCAGTTTTCATAGCCAGTCCCCTGTAGTGTGGTGGGTGCCACACTACAGGTTCAAAGAACACAAGACACATATTATAATCTAACATTTATTGCAAAATTTTCTCTCGTGAGCTGAGTTAAAGGGGAGAGAAACATCAAGTATAAATCTTAACTGGAAGGCTCAAAATCAGTCTGTCCTATTGGCAGGATTCATCAGTGCCAGCAGGCTGTTTCATATGCTGGAGAAGGCATACTTTGTACAATTGTAAGGACTTTTTCTTGTCTTGCAGTTCAGCATCTGTGACTCTGAAGGATGACAGAGTCAACACAACATCCTCTAAGTACCAAGACAGCGTGACATCACTGGACCAGAGGCCTAAAAGGTAGGAGTAATTACAGAATCTAAGCATGTTTTATGCAGTATGCTCCATACAATCAGTTTCACATGAGGAAAGCATGTGAGCAGATGAAATTCTGCTTCCCGACAGTTACTGATGTGCTGTGTATTCTATATTATGTTTTCAATATAGCACATAGGGATTGGTCTTGGGCTTCATCTGAACATAACTGAGAGTTATGTACCCCAAAATGGATGTTCTGGTTTCAAGCCAGATAAATCCAATGGACATCATAGCTGTTTATCAGCTCAGAAATTATTTACCTTGGTGACAGTGTCTGTGTTTGCAAGGCATACTATATTAACTTAAACAAACACAGGACTATATAGCACTTTAAAGACTAACCAGATGGTTTATTAGGTGATGAGCTTTCGTGGGCCAGACCCACTTCCTCAGATCAAATAGTGGAAGAAAATTGGCACGACCATATATACCAAAGGATACAATCAAAAAAATGAACACATAAATTTGACATTTTACGCCTAGGTCTTAACAAAGACATTAATTATCTTACCCATTACAAAGATAGCTTCCCCAATTATCACCTCTAATATCATTAGCTCACAGACATTTACCTCCCCCACTCATCTCCCTTCTGTTCTGAAATTTGATTTGTCCTTTTCATATGTGGGGGAGGTAAATGTCTGTGAGCTAATGATATTAGAGGTGATAATTGGGGAAGCTATCTTTGTAATGGGTAAGATAATTAATGTCTTTGTTAAGACCTAGGCGTAAAATGTCAAACTTATATGTTAATTTTTTTGATTGTATCCTTTGGTATATATGGTTGTGACAATTTTCTTCCACTATTTGATCTGAGGAAATGGGTCTGGCCCACGAAAGCTCATCACCTAATAAACCATCTGGTTAGTCTTTAAAGTGCTTCATAGTCCTGTTTTTTGTTTCAGCTACAACAGACTAACACGGCTACATTTCTGTCTATATTAACTTAAGAGATTTTTTTTTCTTGCAGCTCATTATCTGTGACGGTGAGAGAGGACAAATCTACCACAACTACCTTTAAAGAGGAGGAGAAAACAAAGCACATAAAGAGGCCTAAAAGGCAGGTAGTATGTTGCATGCAGTACTCATGAGTGACATTCATATGGAAAGCAAAACTACGTGTATTTGTGTTGCTTTATGAACACATAATTAATTGCTAAAATCCAGTTAGAATATGTATAGTATCTGAAGCTGAAATTGATTAATCTCAATACAGTATTATGTGGATTTTGTCATTTGAGTCCCACATACATTAATGTGAGTTGTGAAGCCAAATCTATGGATTTTGCCTTAACTATTTACCCTTCTGTGTTTAATTCCACTACTGAGGGGAAAACATCTAATCAGTTAGATGAAACAGTATGAAGTCATAACCATTTATTATCAAAGAGGCAGTCTGTCTTCTTCACAGTGTCTGGCATTATTTCCAATTTGCAGCCTGCTCTTTATTTATATTTCATGTCATTTGTTTCTGTTCCCTGGTTTGGATGATTTCTGTAACTAACCTTCACAGTATAATTTATGAATTTTTCAAATGAATATGCAACTAAAAATTTTTAGTCTGTGACTATTTAAGAATTCAAGCTAGCTATTCATATTCTGTGAATATTCTCACTAATAAATCTCAAGCACTTGATTTGTCACTCCCCAGAATGGTGAACACTGAGAGGTGTGGATATGATCAAAAGATGTTTTTAAATTCAGATGACTATTTGCAGATCACTTTTTCTAGTACTTGTTCAGTTGTAAACACAATTCTGTACTCCTTAATTTGCATGTTTATGAGTAGGAATATCTTAATTTTCAGTCATCTGGGAGTGATGCTTTCATTTCACATCACTTTACAAACTTGGTTCTGAGCGGCCCAGCACCGTTCCACAAACATGAATAATTCTCGATGTTTGTGTGCTTTCATCTGTAGCTCCCGTGCCAGCTATTTTATTCAAAGTAAATATAATTTGTGTGTTGAGATGAGGCAGAAGTTCTCGGCAATAGCAGAAGAAGCAGCTTTTTGTTTGCATGACAACCTGGAGATCCTTGAACGGTAAGAACTTGAATACTGGCATTGTCAAAGCACTGCCTTCCAGTCACTTATGTAACATACTTAGGACATGCTCTCAAACATTTTAGAGACGAGTCTGTTGATTTCAGTGGAGTGGCACTAGAATAATGACATATGAAATATATGTCCAGCTGATTTTATGGGTACCCATGCAAGGATGTACACTATGAGCCAAATAGTGAAACATCTGTATTGAGATTTGCAGCATGATTCTAAAGGACATTACACCAAATATTTACCTCTAGGTCTGTAATATTTACCTCAACATCTGTAATTTAGAGACACTGGGGAAAAGTCCCTCTAGAGTTCACTGCCCCCTGTCATCTTTAATTCTATGCAGTTGATTCAGAATTGGACTCAGTGATGTTTAACAATATATCTTTAATTAACGTTTTCCAGGCTCAATGCAGCCATCCTACTTTGTCATTTAAACCTCTCAAACTGCTGCTAAGGTTTAAAATCAGAATTTAGCTCTTGGTCCAGAATCTCATTCTCTCTAGCATAGCACATTCAGAGTGCTGCTGTGTTAAACATTGTTGGATTTATTCATTTTTGAAGTTGTAACCCTTTGTTCTCCCACAGAGTGGCTATTCAGATACCCACAGTTACAGCCAAGCCACACATGATCTGCAGGGTCTTCTGCTAGCACCATGTAGATACTTGTATTGTCCTTTCACATTACTGAGCAATTCTACTGGCTACAGTTACAGCTTTCTGTCTCATGCGGAGGATAAGTGAGCAGCTTTCTCCCAGGTCGGCTTTCATTCTGGTCCATTGATTAGCCAGCATCTGTCATCCTTTCCTCTAGACTGAAATGTTTCGCTTATGACTCATATGAGCTCTATTTGTGTAGAAAATAAGAGATTTGAGATCTCTCTACACATAATTATTTTAAAGGGCAGAATCTGCGGTTTCTCCTCCTGTCATCCCATTCTTACACTCACTCTTGTACTGCTAGGCCAGGTCCACTCCAGAGTCCCAAAGTGCTTTCTCTGTCGCCTCTCCTAAGCACCTATTTGGAGTGCATGAAGCATTGACTTGTTCCTGGTAGGGATGTTAGTGAGGAGTCAACTAGTCAACTACCTGATAAGCATAAACTTATCAGCTAGTCGAGTAGCGTATTGACTACTCGCTCCCCCTCCACTCTTGTACTGCTAGGCCAGGTCCACTCCAGAGTCCCAAAGTGCTTTCTCTGTCGCCTCTCCTAAGCACCTATTTGGAGTGCATGAAGCATTGACTTGTTCCTGGTAGGGATGTTAGTGAGGAGTCAACTAGTCAACTACCTGATAAGCATAAACTTATCAGCTAGTCGAGTAGCGTATTGACTACTCGCTCCCCCTCCGAGAGACGGAGCAGAGGGGGAGTGGAACAGGAGCCGGTGCTGGGGGGAGACGGCTTAAAAGCTGGTTCCCTCCAGCACCATCTCCACAGTGCCACCGACCACCCCACCCTCA